TTAGGATTCAGCAATATTTAGGATTCAACAATATTCGGGAAATCAAACAACATTTAGGACTGAAAAACTTATAATTTTTTAAAGAGAAAAAAAATTATATTGTATTCAGCATATGCAATTTTACATCGAGCGAAGTTATAAAATCTGAAACCATTTAATATACACAATATTTCAGAAGAACTTTGCACAAAGGCACAACACCAGAGCTTGAAATGGGCACGTACTGCCATCTTTTTACCGCCCAGAAGGTGGAATCGAACCACTGATTCTTATCAGCTACGGGTACGGATTCCCCACTCAACTACAATCAGTAGAGTTGAAGGCCATTGATGTTTGGTATATTTATACACATTTTGGATGGTGCTGTAAAAATAATTTATCAATATAGGTTAAAATTACTTTTTACTTTAGTAAAGATTCCTTACATATTGTAAAAAAATGGAAAAACAAAGGTACGATTTCCTTTTTCAGTGTGTTAGGAAGCATTAGAAATGTTTCCGTATTAAAAATAATATCAAAATTAATGTTTCAAATATTTGATAAGGTAATATTTATACAGAATGAGAAGCAAGGGGTCATATTAGTAAGTAACATAATTAAACAACTTTTAGTTCTCATATACACATTATATATTTATGTATAACAATGTCTGTATTTTATTCAGTATAATACTTATGTTGCATTCAATACACATTTAAGTGGCCAGCATTCGGAAAAGCAATTGAAATTTTAGCACAATTATAATATTCAGAGAATAAAAACTGCAATTTCATGTAGTGGTTTAAAATTTCAATATTAGTTTTACTTTCAGGTTATTTTTATATTTTTGTTTGAAGAGATTTGAATGTGACTTTTTTAAGCATAATGTTCTTAAAATTAAACATTTTAATATGCTCATTAATAAAAAATAATTTAAACTGTATTTTAGATGTCAAATTAAATTATGAGAATAATTTGTATTGCATTTTAACGTAGTGTAAATAAGAGCATTTCTCTCCTACCCCAATTTGCATATGTTTTATAACAACTATGGAATGAAATCAATCAATATAAGGACTGAAAAACGTGTCATAATTTTTTAAAGAAAAAATATATATATTGAACTCAGCATATACCCTTTTACAGCAAGAAGTTGCAAAATCTCGAACCATTTAATATACACAATATTTCAAAAGAGCTTTAAAGAATGGTACAAGACCAGAGCTTGAAATGAGCACGTACAGCCATCTTTTACCGACCAGACGGTGGCATCGAAACTACTCTGATTCCCATCAGCGGTTCGAATTCCCCATTCTTGACAATCAGCTGTGATCTGGAAGAATCTGATCGAGTCAGCTACAACAGCTGTATGTTCGATTGAGAATAGTGAGGGAAGGTAGGGTTGAGTAGTGGGAAAGAATACAGCAGGTAGGAAGAACATGAAAAATTAGGAAAACTTAAAAGAATAAAGGTCGTTGTCACACTTTAAAGAGTACTGTACATTATACAATCAGAATAAGGTGTCAACACAAGCTTCTTAAGAAGATGCGAAAGAGGGTTTTCAAGAAACCTTATGCCACTTACTGTTCGTGTCACAAAACATTTGTAGGAGTTAAAAACTGTAGGAGATTTCGTCCAGTAAAAAACAATGCATTAGAGAAGAATTTACGAACTTAATTGTGTCCTCGAATATTTGAAAAAATGGAGTAGAGTGCCCTCGTCTGCAGATTCCAAAGATTTCGATTTTCCTCTGTCTGTCATTTGCAGGATATGAAATTGTGTTGTGATAACTTTGTGTTTAGCAATTTTATACCCTGTATATGAAATAAAAAATATAATTGCATTTTAAAAAATAAACCTTTACTCCATTTTCCGCCAGATAACACATATTTCCATACTTGCCGACTGAATAATTAATGCTTATTAATTAGTTAATATTTAGAGCCTGAAATAACTCAAGAAAGAAATGAGAATAATGGCATATACTTCATATGGTGATATTTGCAGGTGGTTTTATCTACCACTTTTAACACTTGCTACAGAAATACCAGTACAAATACCAGGCAGCAAACGTATAATGGTGCCCAGATGAGCGCCAGTGGTCTGGTGTGCGGCCTTTGAAACCGTAGCTGATGAGAATCTGAGTGGTTTGATTCCACCTTCTGGGCGTGAAAGACATGGGTAGTGTGCACAAGAATTCCGCAGTTGCATGCTACCTGTCTTTCTTTTTAAGTAATTTTAAAAAAGAAAGACAGGCAAAGAGAGAAACCTTAAAGAGTGCTACCTTAAACCAATTGAGATCACTACATTCGTTGTTAACGTTGACATTCGTTGAGATCGCTACATCGTTGTTAACTGGCCTATAGTAATTATTTATGTGATTGTATACGATATTGTATATGTGTTCTCCACTCTAAAACAAAGAACCTTTCGTACACTAACATGGAATCTGTGACCTACAAAAAAAATAATAAAATACATCTGTAATTGAAACAAACTTTGAAATTTAAAAGCTAGTGTCGAATTGAATTCACTGAACTTTTAAGTGCCATAAATGCGCCATTAATGTTCTTTTGGAATATTAGCAATTTATAATAAATTTAATTATTATTATGGGATTATTTAGTATCCATTGGCAACTATGCATAAGACTCAAATTTAGCGATGGGCTTGAAGGGATGCTTTTCTATATTTGTACAGCAATGTTAGGAATAAATTCCTGCCGACAACCATTTGAGGTATGGGTACCGTTTGTATCTCCTTTACTTGAAACGGAGGATAAAAAAGTAAAAGTCAAAGCATACATGGATAAATTTAATAAAACTTTTATTCCGTATTTCTAATCAGATTTAGGACATAATTTTCCAATTCTAGAAATTGCAAATGTTTCCTAGGGAGCCTAAGAAATCCCCTAGGGTTTTAAGAGATCAGGTCACCTCTTACGACAGGGGTACCCCAATTAATCAAAGACATGGACAGCTTAGGTTTGGATTTGTCACTCTATGGTCATTTTTGTGCACTCTTTAGGCTAAACAGCCCGGGACCTACAGTTTAATCTGAATTCCAAACGATCATCAAACATCCATTCCACCGACAGGTTTCGAACCTGAAAACTTATGTACCAACGAGCAGAGTGCTAGAAAGTCGGAAATCAGCACGCTGGCCCACATAGCAGAATTAGTATTCTCCGAAAACACCCTATTCACTATCTGTCTGTGGTAAATTATTATATATATACACTCGAGAGCCAAAACATTATGACCACCTGTCAATAACGAGTTGGCCCACCTTGGCGCGCAACACAGCTTAAACCCGCCTTGGCATGGATTAATACCACCACTTAATAACAGTTAAATACCACTTCCACCTGATCACGTGCCTTAAACGTCATCCAGGCGAGTTAATTGCAAAATGTAGGGGTGGTCATAATGTTTTGGCTCTTGAGTGTACATGCAGGACGTTCCAAAATGAGGTGGCCAAAATAAGAGGTGAAGCAAGCGTTCTAAAAGAATCAAAAACATTTTTGTATTTTTGCACAGTTTTTATCTCCTTTACATGAAATGGAGGATAAGGATATCATAAAGGATAATGTATATACGGATATATAGACTCTGGAACTTTTAATTCGGTCTCTCTTGTTAACTTTCGAACGAATTTTCCAATTGAGGAATTGGAAATATTCCCTAGGGTTCCTAGAGAATTTTCCCCGGTGGTTGTAATGGATCAGGTCACTTCTTACGACAGAATTTAACAAATTTATCAAAGACGCAAAATTAGTATTCTAATAAGGCACACTAGTCATCTATCTGTCTGTGGTATATTAATATATACACTCAAGAGCCAAAACATAATGACCACCTGTCAATAACGAGTTGGCCCACCTTTGGAGCGCAAAACAGCTTCAACCCGACTTGGCATGGATGCCACAAGTCCTTGGTAGATGGCCGGAGACAGATTGTACCAGATGTTTAAGTAACGGTCACGCAAATCGGAGATATTGCGAATTGGTGGTCTTTTGAACTCTGAGCTACCGTCCGAGGACATCCCAAATGTGTTCTATCGGATTGAGATCCGGTGAGTTAGGCGGCCAGGACATTAACTGGAATTCAGCATCTTGTTCCTGGAATCACTCTAACACAATTTTAGCCTTGTGACAAGGGGCGTTGTCCTGTTGGAACATTTCCTTTCCTGCTGGAAAAACAGAGGTCATATAAGGGTGCAACTGGTCCGCAATGATGTTCAGATACCCTGTAGCATGCATGGTCTGCTCTACCATAACCACGGGTCCCAGAGACGCCCAAGAGAACGTCCGCCAAAGCATAAAACCGCTACCACCGGCCTGTGTATGACATACTGTACATTGAGGAAGCAACTGTTCGCCTGGAAGACGACGTATCCTGACACGGCCATCGGCGTGATGAATGTCAAACCGTGATTCAGCTGAAAAGGCAACTCTCTCCCACTGATCTATGGATCAGTCACGATGTTCCCGGGCCCAGCGCAGGCGCAGTTGGCGATGACGCTTGGTCAGCAAAGGCACACGAGTGGGACGTTTGCTGCGTAGCCCCATATCCAACAGTGTCCGATGAACAGTGTGCTCCGATACTATTCTACTTAGCCCTGCATTGTATTGGGCTGTCAGCTGAGCCACTGTCTGGCTCCGGTTTTACTTCACCATGCGAAAGAGTCTCCGACGACCGTTTTCTTTAATAGCGTGTGGACGTCCAACACCATGTCGTCTACTGCTGGTTTCACCGTCATTCATCCTACAGGATGAATGACGGTGACGCCACCTGCCTACAGGATGCTGCGGCACTAAGTTTTGGTTTTCCTGCCGTGAATAATTCCCAAGGCACACCCTGGGTTGTCCAGGTAGTGAATTGGTCTTTTCATGGCCAAATGACATAGATGCCAGTAATGACATCAACTGCAAAGGGGGATCCTTGACGGTAAATTAATCTACTAGTTTTGATACTTACAGAAATACCAGTGTGAATACCCGACAACAAACTTCTAGTGTCGCCCAGATGAGCGCCAGTGGTCTGGTGTTCTGCCTTCAATCCCGTAGCTGACGGCAATCAGAGTGGTTTGATTCCATCTTCTGGGCGAGGAAGAAGTAGTGTAGAATACAAGTTGACCATTAAATACTCTGCTTTTTGCTTTTAACTAATTTTAAAAGAGTGCTATCTTTTAATGAACGCTGTCTTAAGCCAATTGAGATTACTACATTGTCTCGTTGTTAACTGCCCTGTAGTAATTATTTATACGCTTGCCTATGAGATTGTATATGCATTGTCTACTCTAAAACAAAGAAACTTTCATCCAAATCTGTGACCAAAAATGAAAATTCATCTGTAAGTGAAACAACTTTGAAATTTATTAGCTAGTATCAAATTGAATTCACTGAATTTATAAGTACCGTAATTGTGTCATAAATGTTCTTTTTTGAATATTGTGCACTTTGTACTAATCCCTGTCTGTATAGTTACTGTCGGACTAATTAATATCTATTGGCAACTACGCATATAAGGCTCAAATTTAATAATGGGTTTGATGGAATGTACGGCAATGTTAAAAATAAATTCGTATGGGTTTAACAATCTGAAGTATTTGCCTCCTTTACCTGAAACGGAGGATAAGAACGGAAAGGATGAGGTATGTACGAATATATCGATACTGGAGCTTTAAATTTGGTTCATCCTGTTAACTTCGAACGAATTTTCCAATTCGAGAAATTGTGAATATTCCCTAGCGTTCGTTGGGAATTCCCGGGGTTTAAATGGATCAGGTCCCCTCTTACGAAAGGAGTTAATAAATTTATCAAAGACATGGTCCGCTTAGGAGAATTAGTATATCAAGGTACCCTAGTCATCTATCAGTCTGTATATGCTATTCGGTTGTATATGGTATATGGTATAATATATATATATATTCGGTGGTATATATTATTATATATATATGCAGGATAAACTGTAGTAGATTTAACCCTGTCTAAAACAATGCATTACAGAGTACATTTGTGAAAAGAATTGTTTCTATGATGCTTCGAATAAATGAGGTAGAGTGTCCTTGTTTGCGGCCTCCAAAGTTTTCAATTTTTTTCTTTATGTGCGTTTGACATGATTTGGACATGTGAGATGATAACTCGATAACTTTCAATATATTTTTGAATAAAAAAACGAAATTATAATTTAAAAGTTAAAACTTTACCCCATTCATCCCCAATCAGTTTTACACAGCTTGAAAACTATATTTACACACTTTCCGAGTGAATATATAATGCTTATTAATATTTATAGCCTCTGTTTACACAATGAATGTGAAAATGTAAATTGTAACTGTAATAAATTATCCTAATTGTAAATGAACGAATTGCGAAAGGCGAATGCTTCAAGAAAGAAATACGAATAATGGCGTCAACTGCAAATGGAGATACTTGCAAGCAGTTTAGTGTACCACTTTTAATACTTGCTAGAAAATACCAACATAAATACCATACAACAAACTTCTAATGCTGCCCAGATGAGCACCTGTGTCCTGGTGTGCGGCCTTCGTAGCTGATGTGAATCGTAGTGGGGCGAAGGAGTCATCGTGATGTTGAACTGCTGTGAGTTCTATGGCTGATCATCCTATGACATCCTTTTAAGCCATTTTCAAACAACACTCGCTTAAATTCATTTGGAATACTTTCTTACTTGTCTACGAAGTGCACTTGATTATGTTGAATGCTTTTTAACTATTGTCCTTTAAATAGTTATAATCTATAATTATAAACTTCTGATTATATAATTATAATCAGAAAGAATTTTGAGTGAAAAATACTGTTTTTCACTCAAAATTCTTTCTGATTTTGCTACTAAGATATAACAAAACATAGATCCACATTATACCCACACACATATATATATATATATAATATACACCTGAAAATTCGTGTGAAGGTTTTCTCTTCATAAAACGTTATGATATAGATGCGTGATGTCCAATTGGGCTCAGGCATTTATACCCTCTGGCGATTTAGGTGCAAATCATGTTGGTGGCATGGACGTTTGTCAGTGATTCGGCATCCACGTTAAAGTGTGGGTCCCGGTCTGATTAGACTAAAGTGTGCACAAAATGTCCGTAGAGCAACAAACCGAACCAAGCGTCTCTCATCTACCTACAGGATGCTGCGGCACTCATTTTGGGTATTCCTGCCATGAGGAATTCCCAATGCACACCATGTGTTCTCCAGAAGGGGTTATTGGTCTTTTCATGGCCAAATGACATTGATGTCAGTAATGACATCAACTGCAATGTGATACTTGATGGTAATTTAATCTACTATTTTTGACACTTACAGAAATACCACTATAAATACGAGACGACAAACTTCTAGTGTCGCCCAGATGAGCGCCAGTGGTCTGGTATGCGGGCTTCAATCCCGTAGCTGACGACGAACAAAGTGGTTCAATTCCATCTTCTGGGGTTCAATTCCATCTTCTGGGGTTCGTTTCCATCTTCTGGGCGGGGAAGAAGTAGTGTAGAATGCAAGTTGACCGTTAAATACTCTGCCTCTTGCTTTTAATGAATTATAAAAGGTGCTGCCATAAACCAATTTAGTTTACTGTATTCTCTTGTTATTAACTTGCGTATAGTAATTATTTATACGCTTGCCTATGAGATGGTATATGTATTCTCCACTGCGAAACAAAAAACCCTTTCTCGCATCTGTAAGTGAAACAAATTTTGATATTTAAAAAAACCAGTATTCAAATTGAATTCATTAAATTTTAAACACCATAAATTTGAAATTAATGTTCTTTTTGAATAACGACGCTCTGACCTTTGTTACCACAGACCTCAAGTTAGAAGCCTGGCGGTGTTACGGATATTTGTCAGTGGTCGGAATCCCGTTAAACTGTAGGTATTAGTCTGTTTAGCCCTCGTGTTCAAGAGGATATTAGAGCGACATACCAAATATATCGGCACTTTGCACGAAATTAAATTACTGTCTGATTTTTTTAATATCTATTGGCAGCTACACGCCCATAAGACTCACATTTACAAATGTGTTTGAAGGAATGTTTTTCTATATTTCTACAGCAATGTTAAGAATAAATTCATGTAAGTGACAATCCGAAGTATTTGTACAGTTCTTACCTCCTTTACTTGACACAGAAAATAAGAACGGAAATGGATATGACATGTACGGATATATCGACACTGGAACTTTTAATTAGGTTCCTATTGTCAACTTTCGAACGGATTTTCCAATTCGAGGAATTGTGAATATTCCCTAGTGTTCCTAGGGAATTCCCCGCAGTTTTTAATGGATCAGGTCACCTGTTACGACAGGAGTTAACAAATTTATCTAAGACGTGGCCAGCTTAGGAGAATCAGTATTCTATCAAGGCACCCTACTCATCTGTCTGTCTGTGGTATATTATTGCATATGCAGAATAAACTGTAGGTGATTTCATCCTGCTTAAAGCAATGCTTTAGAGAATAAATTTATGCAATGAATTGTTTCTACGATACTTCTGAAAAGCGAAGTAGAGTGTCCTCGTTTGCAGACTCGAATTTTTTGATTTTTCTTTTGTGTGCGTTTTGCATGATTTGGAATTACGGGATGATAAGTCGATAGTTTAAGGTTTATTTTTGAATAAAGAAAATTAAATTAAAAGTTTTAAAAAATAAACTTTTTCCCCTTCAACCCCGAGCACTTTTTCAGGCTTTTACAAAACATGCCAGTCTATGTTTCCGCACTTACAGAGTCAATATTTATAACGTGTCGTTACACGCGATTGAATAAAAAATGTAAATGAATAAATGAACCTAATTGTAAAAATGAACGAATGCGAAAATGCTGACGGCTCAAGAAAGAAATACGAACAATGTCATCAACTGCAAATAGTGATACTTACAGGTAGTTTAATTTACCACTTTTAATATTTGCTTCAAAACAGTCAATATAAATACCAGATAACAAACTCCTGGTGTTGCCCAGATGAGCACCAGTGGTCTGGTGTGCGAGCTTTCATCCCGTAGCTGATGAGTATCAGAGTGGTTCGATTCCACCTTCTGAGCTTGGGGAATCATGGTGACTTTGAACGGATATTATGCGGTTCAAAGGACTATGCTTGCCTTTTAAGTTATCCTGAAACAATGCTCGCTTAAATTCATTTCGAACATTTTATTACTTATCTTTGTAGTACACTAAATTATATTAAGAATTTTTCACTTCAAAAAATTGTTTGATTTAGCTACTAAGATATATTACAAAACATTTTTTAAATGCAATAATTGGGCCTTTTATGCCCTTTTGGAATATCGGCACTTTGTACTAAATTTTATTAATGTAGGACTATTTAATATGTATTGACAATCACAGATAAGAGTCAAATTTTCCAATGGTTTTGAAGAAATGCTTTTGTATTTTTGCACAGAAATTTTAAATAAATTCATATGGGCGACAAACTGACGTAATTGCACAGTTTTTAAACCCTTAGCCTGAAACTGGGGATAAAAATTTAAAAATGTTCCCAGGGAATTCCCTAGGCTTTAATGGATCAGGTCAAATCTTACCACAGGAGTTAACAAATTTATCAAAGATGTCACCTGCTTGTAAGAATCACTATTCTATCAAATCACCCTAGTCATCTATATTCTTGTGGTATATTATTATCATATATATATATATGTAGGATAAACTGTAGGGGATTTTATGCTGTTTAAAACGTTAGAAAACAACTTTGCGAAATGTATTACTTCTACGATACTTCGAAATAATGGGGTGGAGTGTTATCATTTGTAACCTCCGAAGTTTTCAATTTTTGCATGCTTTGGAAAGGACTTTGCATGCTTTGGAAAGGACTTTGCATGCTTTGGAAAGGAGAGGGTAATAATTTGGCATTTTGCAATTTTGTACCAGTATATAGACTTTAAAAATTTAATTAAATTTTAAAAAGTAGACTTTTATCCCATTTGTCGCAAAAAAAAAGATATATATGTACCTACCGACTGAATAATTAATGATTATTAATTAATTAATATTTAGCGCGTGAAATGACTCCAGAAAAGAAATGCGAATAAAGGCATCAACTTGTAAGTAGTTTACTCTACCACTTTTAATACTTGCTGCGTAAATGCCAGTATAAATATCAGACAACCAACTTCTAGTGTCCTCCTGATGAGCGCCAGTGGTCTGTTGTGCGGGCTTCAAACCCGTAAATGATCAGAATCAGAGTGGTTCGATTTCAACTTCTGGGCGTTAGGAAATGGGTAATGTGGACAAGAAGTTCACAGCTCCATGCTATCCGTCTCTCTTTTAAGTACTGTTAAAAAGAACGCTGCCTTAATCCCATTGAGATGGCCACGTTCTCTAATTGTTAACTGGCCTATAGTAATTGTTTATACTCTTGCCTATGAAATTGTATATGTATTCTCCACTCTAAAACAAAGGATCTTTCGTATACAAGCCTAAATTTGAAATCTGTGACCACAAAGAAAAGAACAAATAACATCTGTAAGTGAAACAAACTTTGAAATTTAAATGCTAGTATCAAATTGATTTCACTTTTAAGTACCATAATTGTGCCATTAATGTTCTTTTAGAGTATCTTCACTTTGTACTAAATTTAATTACTGTCGGACTATTGAATATCTATTTGCAGCTACGCGGAAGACTTAAATTTAATAATGGGCTTGAAGGAATGCTTTTCTATATTTGTACAGTAAAGTTAGGAATAAATTCATGTGGGTGACAATCTGAAGTATTGTACAGTTTTCATCTCCTTTAGTGAAACAGAAGATAAGAACGGAAAGGATTAGGTATGTAGGGATATATCGAAACTGGAACTTTTAATTCGGTTTCCCTTGTTAACTTTCGAACGATTTATCCAATTCGAGGAATTGTGAATATTCCCTAGGGTTCCCAGGAATTTCCCGGGGTTTTAATGGATCAGGTCAGCTCTTACGACAGGCGTTAACAAATTTATGAAAGACGTGGCCCGCTTAGGAGAACTAGTATTCGATCAAGGCATCCTAGTCATCTATCTGTCTGTGGTATATTATTGCATATATATATATATATATATATATATTCATTACGTTTGAAACAATGTATTAGGAAAGAAATTTATGAAATTAATTTTGAAAAATTGAAAAAATGAGGTAAATTGTCATCATTTGTAGCCTCCAAAGTTATCCATTTTTCTTTGTGTGCGTTTTGTATGATTTGCAAATGGGAGATATTAGAGAGTTTTTGCATAATGTTTTTTTATAGTCCGATATTTTTTTCTTCCTAGCACTCATGTTCATAGGGATAGCTGAGTAGTGCAGTATTACAGATATGCATGCGCAATAGGTACAACGTTTCGTTAAAAAAATTTTATGCAATAACTCTCTAATATCTCGAGAGTTTTCAATTTATTTTTGAATAGAAAATTAAATTAAAATTTTAATGAAATTAAATTAAAATTTTAAATTATTTTTTTTTCCCCATTTACCACCAAGCAATTTTCATACTTTCACCCACCTTGAGAAACTGTGCTACCGAGTGAACATTTAATGCTTATGGATATTTATAGCGTGTCATTACAAGCGAAGGAATGCGAAACTGTAAATTGTAGCTGTAAATGAATAAATGAACCTAATTGTACATGAACGAATTCGAAATGAGAACGACTCAAGAAAGAAATAAGAACAGTGTTATCGATTGAAAATAGTGATACTTATAGGTAGTTTAATCTACCACTTTTAATACTTGCCTCAGAAATTAAAATATAAATACAAGATAACAAACTCCTAACGTTGCGGAGATGAGCGACAGGGGTCTGGTGTGCATGCTTGAAACCCGCAGCTGAAAAGAATCTGAGTGGTTCGATTCCACCTTCTGGGCGGAGGAGTCATGGCGATGTTGAACAGCGATTGTGAGTTCTATGGCTGATCATCCTATAATATCTTTTGAAGCTATTTTCAAACTATTCTCGTTTAATTTCATTTGGAATATTTTATTACTTATCTACGAAGTACACGTGATTATGCTGAATCACTTCCACATTTACCGAGTGATTTAATGCTTATTTATTTTATAGCTTGTCGTAACACGCGAAGGAATGCGAAAATGTAAAGCGTAATCTGTAAATGAACAAGTAATATAAAAATAAAGAATTTAAAGTCAATTCCTACTTTTTTTCACTCTATTGCAGAAAGTCCTTTATAAATAATTTTCATTCATTTTTTTTTAAATTTATCTGGTGCCCTTTATGGGTAGATATATGCAAATTAAATCTTAAAAAAACTAAAATTAATGAATTAAATATAATTACAGAATTAATATTTGAAAAAATTAATAACATCAGGTGTCATCATCTACAAGTATTTGAACTTGAATGGATGAATAAAAAGTATTTTAATAGCAATTGAAAATTTGAACAAGATATATATAGGGAGAGTGGGAGCTGATAGAAGGAATTGAATAAATGAACCTAATTGTAAATGGACGAATGCGAAAATTAGAACGGCTCAAGAAAAAATACGAATAATGGAATCCACTGCATATGAGGATATTTCCAGGTAGTTTAATCTACCACTTTTAATACTTGCTCCAGAAATACCAGCATAATTACTAGATAACAAACTCTTAATGTTGCCCAGATGAGCGCCAGGGGTCTAGTGTGCGTCCTTCAAACCCGTAGCTGATGAAAATCAGAGTGGTTCGATTCCACCTTCTGGACAAGGGTCATGGTTGTGTCAAACGGATGTTATGCGTTTCGCAGGACTGTGACTACCTTTTAAGTTATTTTGAAACAATGCTCCGTTAAATTCATTTCCAACATTTTATAACTTATCTTCGTAATACACTTCATTATGTTAAGCATTTTTCAGTTAGGTATATTACAAAAACATTTTTTAAAGACTCAAATTTACTAATGGGTTTCAAAGAATTTCTTTTCTATATTTGTACAGCATTTTAGGGAATAAATTCATGTGGGTTGACAATCTGCAATAGTTTCACAGTTTTTACCTCGTGTAACTGGAACGGAGGTTAAGAACGTAAGGGATAATCTTTGTACGGATATAGCGACATTGGAAATTTTAATTCGTTTTCTTTTGTTAACTTTCGAATGAATTTAAATATTTCGAGGAATTGTGAATATTTCCTGGTGTTCTTAGGGAATTCCCAGAGTTTTAATGGATCAGGTCACCTGTTACGACAGGAGTTAACAAATTTATGAAAGACGTTACCCGCTTTAGAGAACTAGTAAGATCAAGGCACCCTACTCATCTGTCTGTCTGTGGTATATTATTGCATATGCAGAATAAACTGTAGATGATTTCATCCTGTTTAAAGCAATGCTTTAGAGAATAAATTTATGCAATGAATTGTTTCTACAATACTTCAGAAAAGTGAAGTAGAGTGTCCTCGTTTGCAGACTCCAAAGTTTTCGATTTTTTTTTTTTGTGTGCGTTTTGCATGATTTGGAATTACGATATGATAAGTCGATAGTTTACAGTTGTTGTTTTTTAATAAAGAAAATGAAATTAAAAGTTGAAAAATAAACTTTTGCCCCCTTCACCCACGAGCAGTTTTTCATGCTTTTACCAATCATGCGATTCTATGTTTCCGCACATACCGAGTCAATATTTATAGTGTGTCGTTTCACGCGAAGGAATGCAAAAATGTAAATGAATAAATGAACCTAATTGTAAAGGAACGAATTCGAAAGTGCGAACGGCTCAAGAAAGAAATACAAACAATGTCATCAACTGCAAATAGTGATACTTACAGGTAGTTTAATCTACCACTTTTAATATTTGCTTCAAAACAGTCAATATAAATATCAGATAACAAACTTCTGATGTTGTCCAGATGAGCACCAGTGGTCTAGTGCGCGGTCTTTCAACCCGCAGCTGATGAATATCAGAGTGGTTCGATTCCACCTTCTGGGCTAGGGAGTCATGGTGACTTTGAACGGATATTATGCGGTTCAAATGTCTGTGATTGCCTTTTAAGTTATCCTGAAACAATGCTCGCTTAAATTCATTTCGAACATTTTATTACTTATCTTTGTAGTACACTTAATTATATTAAGAATTTTTCACTTCAAAAAATTGTTTGATTTAGCTACCAAGATATATTACAAAACATTTTTTAAATGCAATGATTGGGCCTTTAATGCCCTTTTGGAATATCGACACTTTGTACTAAATTTATTACTGTAGGACTATTTAATATGTATTGGCAACGACAGATAAGGGTCAAATTTTCCAATGGTTTTGAAAAAATGCTTTTTATTTTTGCACAGAAATTTTAAATAAATTCATATGGACGACAAACTGAAGTAATTGCACAGTTTTTAAACCCTTAGCCTGAAACGGGGATAAAAATGTAACGGATAATGTATGTACTGATATATCGACACTGGAACTTTTAATTTGGTTTCTCTAGTCAACTTTCGAACGAATTTTCCAATTTGAGGAATTGTGATTATTCCCTAGAGTTCCCAGGGGTTTTAATGGATCAGGTCAAATCTTACGACAGGAGTTAACAAATATATCAAAGACGTCACTTGCTTGGGAGAATTAGTATTCTATCAAATCACCCTAGTCATCTATCTGTGTGTTGTATATTATTATCATATATATATGCGGGATAAACTGTAGGGGATTTTATCCTGTTTAAAATGTTAGAAAAGAACTTTGCGAAATGAATTACTTTTACGATACTTCGAAATAATGGGGTGGAGTGTCATCATTTGTAGCCTCCGAAGTTTTCAATTTTCCATATGCATAATGGCATCAACTGCATATGGGGATATTTGCAGGTAGTATAATCTACCACTTTTAATACTTTCTCCATATATACTAAAATAAATAGCAGACAACAAGCTTCTAAAGTAGCCCAGATGAGCGCGAGTGGTTTGGTGTACGGCTTCAAACCCGTAGCTGATGAGAATCAGAGTGGTTCGATTCCACCTTCTGGGCCAGGAGTCATGGTTATGTAAAACGGAGGTTATGCGTTTTATATGACTATGAATACCTTTTAAGTTATTTTGAGACAATGCTCGGTTAAATTCATTTCTAAAATTTTGTTACTTATCTTTGTAGTACATTTAATTACATTAAGAATTTTTCTCTTAAAAAAATTGTATGATTAACTACTAAGATATACATTGAAGTGACAAAAGTCATGGAATACCTTTTAATATCGTGTCGGCCCTCCTTTCGCCCGGCGAAGTGCAGCAACTCGACGTGGCATGGACTCAACAAGTCGTTGGAAGTCTTCTGCAGGAATATTGAGCCATGCTGTCTCGATAGGCGTCCATAATTGTGAAAGCGTTGATGGTGCAGGATTTTGGGCACGAACAGACCTCTCGATGATGTCCCATAAATGCTCGATGGGATTCATGTCGGGCGATCTAGGTGACCAGATCATTCGTTGAAATCGTCCAGAAAGTTCTTCAAACCAATCGCGAACAGTTGTGGCCCGGTGACATGGCGCATTGTCATCCATAAGAATACCATCGTTGTTTGGGTACATGAAGTCTATGAATGGCTGCAAGTGATCTCCAAGTAGCTGAACATAAGCATTTCCAGTCAATGTTCAGTCCAGTCGCACTAGAGGACCAAGTCCATGCCATAAAAAAACAGCCCACACCATTACGGAGCCACCACCAGCTTGAACAGTGCCTTGCTGACAGTTTGGGTCCATGGCTTCGTGGGGTCTGCGCCACACTCGAACCCTACCATCAGCTCTTACCGACTGAAATCGTGACTCATCGGACCAGGCCACGGTTTTCCATTCATCTAGGGACCAACCGATATGCTCACGTGCCCACGAGAGTCGCTGCAAGCGATGTCGTTCTGTCAGTAAAGGCACTCGAGTCGGCCTTCTGCTGGAATAGCCCAAGAAAGCCAAATTTCTCCGCACAGTTCTAACAGACAAGTCCCTTGTACGTCCCACATTGATTTCTGAGGTTATTTGACGCAGTGTTGCTTGTCTGTTAGAATTTACGACTCTTTGCAGACGTCGCCGGTCTCGGTCGGCGGTAAGTGCAGGCGGTCGACCACTGAGCTGTCCATGGTGGGATGTTATGCCTGAAATTTCATACTCTCGGCACACTCTTGACACAGTGGATCTGGGAATGTTGAATTCCCTAACGATTTCCGAAATGACATGACCCATGCGTCTAGCTGCAACTAACATTCCGCGTTCAAAGTCTGTTAATTCCCGTCGTGCGGTCATCATCACGTCAAAAACTCTTCACATGAACAGAAATGAAAGATCTGCGAAAGCACTGCGCATTTATACCTGTTCTACGCGATGCTACTGCCATCTGAAAATTTTCATATTGCTATCCCATGACTTTTGTCACTTCAGTGTATGTATTCATACTTTTACGCCTCTTAATTTAAAGCTGAAAACTTTTCACGCGCCAAATAAAATTGCGAAATAGTTTCATAGCAAATTCAAATGGAGTTACTGTTACAGAATCAAACAAGCCAGCAAGCTTTGCAAATTAAAACCTTTTATATCAGGAAATATTAGAAAAAAAGTGGTTTTTATTCCAATTAAGAATTATTATCCAAATAAACAACAGAAATACAGCTCCTTAGAATGACATTAAAAAATAATCCAAGTAACATATAAAATAGACTATAACATCCGCAGGCAGACAGTTTGACATCATTGAGGCATGTTGGCAGCCTCCATATGCCTCTATCTTGATGGTTCCTTTGAAGGTAAATGATAAGAGAAATGGCTTGCTCACTATTACATCCAGCTTAACATTATGGTATTTAATGACCAAGAAACATCACAAATAAAGTGTGCAAAAGCTCATAACAATAAAATGGAATTAAATTATTAAATTGCGTTTCATGGCCGAGTGAGTAGCGCTCTGTCGCTGGATGCTACAGATTTCGGGTTCCAGTCCCGGAGGGGCCATGGACATTTGTAGTGGTTCGGAATCTACTTTAAATCGTAGGTCCGTGTCTAATAGGACCATAGAGCGTTGAGTGAAGAGCTGACATTCCTACCCCGTAAAAAGAAAACATTTGTTGTCTCCAATTGTGCCAGCAGGCAGACGATCTTTGTTCACCAGGGCTGGCGCGCCAATGAAGAAGAATATTGAACTAGTTTACTACAAGGGCTGCAGAACACAAACGCAGCGTCACTCGCCGACAGCACACCTTTCAAAACCAAAACCAAAAGCATGCGTGTTGTCAAATGCTCGCGCACAACTTCTGACAAATCCTCAGATGGAGCGCAAGAAAGCTGTTGAGAAGATTTAAAGCTCACTACAACATAAAAATGGATCTTAACATGCTTACATGCATCAACATTTTACGTTCATTTCTTTAATAGAATTCCACTACAGGTTGCGTGGAAAGGTAAATACCCATTTTGAAAAAGGAACGGGAGGAATCGATTACTTGTTAGCAGATATGGGTAGTAAGAGTTTAAAATTTTTGAAGGTGTCGAGAATCGGTGTCAGGTACCAATTTAAATATTGGGGACCGACTCTTTTCTAAAAATATTTGATATATTCCAAAAAAAATTCCTTTAAAATTAAATTAATTAATGTTAAAAATAAATGGTAAAAGGTATCTTTCAATCCCACAACCAGTAGCAAAGGCAGTTATTGCGTAACAACAGACCAACTCAGTGTTGAAAGACTTTTTCTGAACAGTGAGGATTATCAAAAAGTTACCATGAATCCACAACGACAGAAGATATTACAGAGGTCCTGAATGGCCGAGTATCTAGAGCTCGGTGTTTTACAGTGGCTCGGTGGTTTCTCCTCACAGGTTTCGGGTTTAGACTCTAGGCGGTGCTATGGATGTTAGTAGTGGTTCGGTATAAAAACAAACATGAACTGAACCTACATTTCACTATCTCCAGAACCTTTTTCTTCAAATCTGCTTATTAATTATTTTTATTTTCGGGTTTTTATATGTTTATATATTAAATATAAGAAAGAAAGAAAAGAAAAAAAAAAAAAATGAATAAATAAACATATTTCTCGATTTGTTTCGATTACTTCAAAACATTATATGTCTCTTTCTTTTAATTCTTTTATATATATCTGGGGAAGTCACCAATTAGTCTTTACCTGCTTTGTTTTTCAATGTGTTATCTCATAACTTCAAAGGACTCCAACTCAAGATAGAAGCCAGAGGCTGCTTCGCACCAACACAAATCATCATCTACGTTTCACTTTAAACCGTAGGTTCCGGAATAATATCGTAGAGCGTTGTCTTAAAGTTTAGTTAGCCTTAAGTCCATGTGGTTCGCCTCTAAAGGGAAGTGCATATTATCCTTCGCCATGGCCCAGTGGGGTCTCCTGGCCCTGATGTAGCTTTTTTGCACAAGGCGGGATTAGTAACAACAACATGAGATCTTACAGAAGATATTCTATAATAAAGACAAATAATATTTAATGCAGTACAAATAGATCATCCTTGTTGCTTGAAAAGTACACTTATCTTAAGCTATTCTAAAATGGATCTCATATTGCTAATTTAATATTATTGTCAGTGTTGTAATCAAATTTAAAATACAAGGATGTATTTTGATTTATGCAATTACAAAAGATTTTAAAGACGTAAAAGCACCTTGTTCTGGAAAAGTGCTGTTAAAAAGTGAAAAATAATTATTATAATTATTTAAAGGACAACATTTAAAAGTATTCAGCATAAACAACTGTACTCTGAATAAAGGTATTAAAACGTTCCAAATGTTTTAAAGCCAGCATTGTTACAAAATAGAATAAAAGGGAAACCTAGGTACATTAAACTCACAACATGTGTTCAACATCGCCATGTCTCCCTCGACCAGAAGGTGGAATCGAACCACTCAGACTCTCATCTGCTATGGGTTTGAAGCCCGCACACCGGACCACTAGCGCTCATCTGGGCGATAGTATGACTATGTTGTCTGGTATTTATGCTGGTATTTCTGTAGGAAGTGTTAAAAGTGGTAGATTAAACTACTGGCAAGTATCAACATATGCAGCTCTATGATCATTTTTGTGCACACAATATACTAATCAGACCCGTACCTACAGGTTAATGTGGATTCCAAACTACTAACAAACACACATGCCATCGACAGTATCAAAGGTCAGACAGCTGTGCAATTGGCGATCAGAATTCTATATCATAAAATTTTATGAAGAGAAATCTTCACGCAAGTTTTCAGGTGTAGATATATATATATATATAATAGGGGTCTATGTTTTGTAATTTATCTTGGTAGCGAAAACAAACAATTTTTATGAGTGAAAAATTATTATTATTTTATGTATTTAAAGGACAATTGTTAAAAAGTGTAAAAGAACAAGTGTATATTCAGTACATAAGAAAGTCTTCAGTATATAAACAAGTGTACTAAGAAAAAAATGTAATATAAGATCCCAAGTAAATTTTAGTGAGCTTTGTTTCAAAACAGATTAAAAGGAACACATGGGTAGATATATATACATACATATATATATATATATATATAGAATAAGGGTATACGTTTTGTAATTTATCTTTATGAGGGAAAAATACTTATTTTAATTATTTAAAGAACATTAGTTAAATGTATTCAGCATAAACAAATGTACAACGAAGAAAATTAATAAAACGTTCCAAATGAATTTTAGTGAGCATTATTACAAAGTAGGTTAAAAGAGAGTTCATGGTGAATAAAACTCATAACAGTTGTTGAATATCCCCAAGACTCCCTCGCCCAGAAGGTACAATCGAACCACTCAGATTCTCATCAGCTACGGGGTTGAAGCCCGCACACTAGACCACTGGCTCTCATCGGGGCGATATTAGAAGTAGATTGTCTGGTATTTATACGAGCATTTCTGTGGTAAGTATTAAAAGTGGTAGATTAAACTACTTGCAAATATCAACAAGCAAGTGCAAGTGCAAGTAGCTCCATTAGTTGTTGCCATTACTAATATTTCTTTATTGTGTCATTTCATGTGGTAAGATAAATTAATTATTAATTAATAATTATTGAATAGGTATAGTATTTAAATAAATTTGCAATAAATGTAATCGAACATCTGTTCAATAAAAAAAATTATAACACGTTTTTCAGTTCTAAACGTTGTTTGATTTCAATAACAAGAATTGCGTCATAAGATGTGCAAAATGGCATAAAAAAGAGACATGCATTCTGTTACACTGTTTTAGAAAATAAAATAAAATTACAAAAATCGATACAAATGAGAATAATTTGAAACTGATATCTAAATGAAGTTTTAAATATTGTTTTGGTTATGTGTATTAAAGCATATTAATTTTTAGTACATGACACATTACAAATAAAAGATATGATGATAAAATGTAACCAACTAGCTCTCTGTGCTCAGTGCCACAGTTTTCGGGTTCGATCCCGAAAGTGCCATCGATTTTTAGTATAATCGTTCGGAATCCACTTTAAACTGCAGTTCCCGAACTCAAATTACAGTAGAGTGTCAGGCTAAGGGGCTGACAACCCTACCCTATAAAGAAAAAAAAAATTAATGTCTCGAAATCTGCCAGTAGGCAAGCATCCTTGGCTCACCCTGGGCTGTTTCGTCAATGAAGAAAGAATAAGATAAAAGGTGATCACTAACCAACAAACAGAAATAAAGAGATCTAAAATCAATATTTACCTTTTAAACCTTTCTATGAAATTATAGTTTTTTTTTAATTTCATTAACATAATTGCGTTTAAATGCAAAATTTCCCATTATTTTTTTCCTGTGCTGGCCACTTAAAAATATATTGAATACATTATAAGACCTATAGAGAATGTAGTGTCATGCAGGAAGATGGGGTATATCGCATTGCGGATATGAGCAGTAATACTGTAATCTTTTGATAAGAAAACGAAATAAAAAAAACAAATAATGTCATCATAGCTCAACAAAAACAAGTTCACTCCTCTTCTAGCGTTACCACAGACTTCGAATCCTGAAGGGTGGCTTGGATGTTTGTCAGCGGCCAGGAATCCGCGTAAAGCTGCAGGCTCCAGTCTAATTAGCCTAAATTGTGCCTAAAATGACTGTAGAGAGGCAAAACAAATCAAATCAAATCAAACCCAATCAATCAATCTTGGGCAATCCTCCATATACCATTGAGTTTAATGAATATTTTTAATGAGGATTAAATTTGGCGTTAAAAATCAAGACCAACGACTTTAATCAAGATGCACTGAACCTTTGCTTTTTCTAAGTTCTTTTGTGCTCCTATCATAACGTTTCATAAAGACAAATGCAAAAAACTTTACACGAGTTTTTCTATATATATATATATAAGAGAGGTGTATGTTTTGTAATAAATCGTGATAGGAAAATCAAAAAAAATATTCAGTATAAGAAGTTTACAACGAGGGAAAGTTGTAAAAAGTTCCAAATAATTTTAAGAGACCAGTGCTTTAAAACAGCTTAAAAGAATCGCATGGTAGTATTCACCTGTCAAGTTCAGATTAATACAACCATGCCTTCCTCGCCCAGAAGGTGGAATCGAACCACTCAGGTTCTCATCAGCTACAGGTTTGAAGCCCGCACACCAGACCACTGGCTCTCATCTGGGGGACGTTATATGCTTGTTGTGTGGTATTTGTACTGGTATTTGTGTAGCAAGTGTCAAAATTGATAGATTAAACTGCCAGCAAGAACCAATATTTTCAGTTGTTGCCATTAGTGGTAGTTCTTCCTTCACTCATCTCACGCATTAAATATTAGTCAATTAACGAAGATTAATAAATTAAGTGAGTGCATTTAAAAGCACAAATTAAAAGTATTCAGCATAATCTAGTGTGCAACGATGAAAAAGTAATAAAAGGATATAAATGAATTTTAGCGAGCATTGTTTCAAAATAAACTAAAAAAAGGTACTCATGGGCCATAAACACACGGTATGTGTTTAATATCACCATGACTCCCTCCCAGAAGGTGGAATCGAACCACTCTGATTCTCATCAGCCACGGGTTTGAAATTCGTACACCAGACCACTGGCGCTCATCTGGGCGACACTAGAAGTTCGTTGTCGGGTATTTATACTGGTATTTTTAGTAAGTGTTAAAAGTGATTAAACTAATTGCAAAACTATTAACTATTGCAAATTAAACTATTAATTAAACTATTAAATTAAACTATTTGCAAATATCAACATATGCAGTTGTGTCATTTCGCATACTATAGCTTAATTATTTATTAACGACTAATTATTTAGTCGGCAGGTACGGAAATATTAGTTTCCTTGAGAAAATACAATACCTTTCTATATACAATGTTCGTTGTATAAAAAATTATAACACGTTTTCTGCCCTAAATTCTGTTTGATTTCCGTACTAAAAGTTGTGATGCATCATAAGCGAACTGGAAAAAGAGAAAGAGGCATTCTATCTTTCAACTTTATTAGAATCATCGAGGAGGATCTATCACTTGGCCACCGCGATCACCAGATTAGTCTCATATAGATTTTTCTTATATTGTTTTTTTATTATGAATTTAGTACTTATTTACGAAACACCTGTTTCCTTGCAGGAATAATTAGCAGGAAAAAGGAGCAAGCAGGATATGTTCGAGACACAATTGTTATTTTTAAGAAGGGGCGCCATCCTTTTTGCTGCGGCCATCTTTCCAGTGCGTTGGATTGATCGAGGTGAACCAATGGCATGACTACAGCAATCACCAGATTTTCTTATGCTGATTTTCTGTATGAGTTTTTATTTACGAAATTAGAGCTTATTTACGCAACACCTGTTTCATCGCAATAAGATGTGTTAGGTAGAATTGTTGTGGCAGCAAGATTTGAGCCATTCTATGCTGCGTTAATGTATTGGTTGTCTCAGGCATATGGTGTTTGCTTTAGGCATTGGGCGTAAATATATAACATGGGCTGAAATAAAATATGAATAAAATGATTTCGAATGAATTTTGTTTTGTTTTCATTGTATTAGCATAATTTGAACCCCGTCTACTGGCACGATGTAGCGCTTTCGACACTAAGTTTCTATGTGCTGTTGATACTTTTAGAATGCCTGATTCGCTTCTTATTTTTACACCTTATTTTGAATGATCATGCATATACTATATATATATACACGGCATAAAAAAATAGAAGGACAGTGTTTTTGCCAATTAATATCTCTTATTTTCTCCTAACTACCAGATATTTATGCATATTTAGTTTAATGACCCTTTTTTTTTTTTTTCATTTTAGGCAAAAATAAAACATTTACCACTTATATTAATAATAAAATTAATATACATAATTTCCGATGCGTAAAAAAAAAGTAGAAGGACACTTGCTAATATATTTAATTTAATGAGCTGTTCTTTAGTTAAATAGTGATTTTGTACTTTCTTTTTAAATATGATTTTTTCTTTTATCCTTTTCTGTCAAAAAAATCTAAATTGTTTAAAAGTTGCGCTGTTTCTCCGTTCTCAGAAATGCCTAAGGGAATACCTTTGAAAGATTTTCAAAAGGCCAAATTTACGCATATCAAAATGATGGTAAAAGGTGTCAGAGAGATTGCTCGATTGTTGCAGGTGAGCCCCAATACAGTTTTAAACTTTATCAGAAATCCTTATAAAAATGGAAAGAAGACTGGTAGACCGAAAAAGTTAACACCACGTGATGAAAGAAAAGTTTTTCGTGTGCTTAAGAAGAACAAAGGAAGTGTTTCAAAGGAAAGAAATCAAGCAGGACTTAATCATGTGACGAAACAAACAGTTTACAACTATATTAAAAGATCTAAAAATTCATTTTCAAAAAACGGAAACATCATCCTAAGTGGACACAAGCTCACATTGATAACCGTTTAGCGTGGGCTAAGGAGCACATGTCCTGGACTACAAAATGGACTTCTGTGATATTTTCCGATGAAAACAAATTTAACTTAGACGGTCCAGACGGATATCAGCACTACTGGCATTGTCTGCGGAATGAAGACGAATACTATTCAACACGACAAATGGGAGGAGGGAGTTTAATGGTTTGGTTGGCTGTTGGATACGGAGGAAGGACAAGTCTAGTTTTCTTAAATGGTAGGCAAAAAAATTCAGACTACATTCAAGTGCTTAATTCCGAGCTTCTTCCTTATGGCTCTGACTTGGGGGGGGGGTGAAGAGTGGAAGTTTCAGCAAGACGGAGCTTCCATTCACACCGCGACTGGAGCCAAAAATTGGTTCCTAACAAATAATGTGGATGTTTTACCATGGCCAGCCAAAAGTCCTGACCTTAATATAGTGGAAAACATCTGGGCAATGCTAGTTCGTCGAGTTTATGCTGATGGAAGGCAATTTGATTCGCTAACTCAGCTTCGAGAAGCATTGAATGACTCGTGGGACAATTTTTGTCAAACAGAAGTTCAAACAATCTCTATACAATTCACTTCCAAACAGAATATTTGAAGTTATAAAGGCCAATGGGAAGAACATTCCTTATTAAAATCACTATTTTTTCATTCATTATAATGCTGTCCTTCTACTTTTTTTACAAAGTTTCAAAAGAGAGAAACTATTTTTGTTGCCATTAATATTTTATGTTTGAATATCATAATTCTGATGTTAAAATTGTATTTTTAAACTATTTGTAAAATGTTTCTAATAAAAATTTTTAGTAAAAATAAAATATTTTTCGGTTATTGTTACAAAATCAAGTGTCCTTCTATTTTTTTTTACGTAGTGTATATATATATATAATAATGCCCCACAGACAGATAGATGTCTAGGATGCTTTCGGAGAATACTAGTTCTCCTAAGCAGGACAGCGACCTGATGGCCAACTGGATAGCACTCTAGCCTCTAGCACCGTGTCTAGCC